TCTCACCGAATGTGTCTCATATCTGTTGAAAAGTTAAATGGTTCAACATCCATTCTGTTTCATCCAGCTTCCTCCAGCTGAGCCAATCCACCACCATGTTTGCGCAACCTTCTATGTGCATGGCCTTGATTGACCTCAGATGGATCTCTGCCCACTGAAGCGTCAGCTTTGCTTCCTCATGCAGGGACCTGGATCTGGTCTCAGAAGGCCGGCAGACCTAGCCTGATTGTCCTGAGCTCCAGCAGGTTGATACTCTGGGACACGTCCTCCTGGGACGATTTCATTCTCCACTGAGATTGAGCCCCCCAGCCTGTAAGGCTGGCATTCAAAGTCTTAAGTATTCTCTTCAGATCCCTTAACGGAGTCCCCTCCATGAACTGAATGGGGCTTGTCATTGGAATTGCTGGATCAGGGATGCCAGGGGCTGGATCAGCTTGTGCTGCCGGTTGGCTATCAGTTCCTGAAAGGGAAGAGGGAACCTCTGTAGTGGGCAAAGATGAAATCATGACCATTGGACGATATCATGACAGGAGACCATCATCTCAAGAATCCTTGCCAGTGACATCACCTCTACTTGAGACTGTTGTGAGATTTCTCATATCGAGGCTATGACCTGCTCTTGCCTTTCCTGTGATAGGAAAACTCCGTTCTCAGCTGTGTCTATCATGATCCCTAGGTGCAGGACTTGCTGGGATGGAGACAGGCAGCTCTTTTCCTTGTCGATGATGAACCTGTGGTCCTAGAGACACAGCATGGTTTGCTATATGTCCTTCACACCCTGGGAGAGGGATGAGGATCTGATCAATAAGTCATCCTGATATGTCTACACCCTGGGTCTTCAGGTATGCTATCAATGCCACTAGCACCTTGGTGGACACCCTTAGTGCCATCTTTAGCCCAAAGGGGAGAACCCTATACTGGAAGTGGAGCCCATTGTAAGCAAAGTGCAGGAACTTCTGATGTGCCTGCCAAATGGGGATGTGCAAGTAGGCCTCTGAGAGATCTATTGACGCCAGGAAATCTCCTTTCTGTATTGATGACACTATGTACCTTAGGATTTCCATCCTGAACTTCCTCTTCTTTATTCTCCTCTTCAGCCATTTGGGGTTCAGAATGGCTCTCATGTCCCTGTTTTTCTTGGAGATGATAAAGAAAACTGAATAAACCCTTTGGTCCTCCAGTCACCTCTCCAAGAGGTGTTGTATAGCGTCAAGAAGGTGCTTCCATGGGCATTTGTTCTTTAATACCTGTAAAAGTCTGTTGGGAGGAACAGACCAGAGCTCTAGAGATTAGCCATTCTTTACATTGTTCAGCACCCACTTGTCGCCTATTGTCGATTCCCAGTGAGTCACAAACCTTTGAAGCCGGACCCCTATCTTTGTATGTACTGGGGCCCTGCAGTAGTCATGCTGATGAGCTCTTTGGGGGCCTTTTTGGTTCTGTCCTGATGTCCTAGTGAAGGAGGCCCTATTGCTCCCTTACTTCTTGGTATGCCATCTCCCCTTGGAAGGTCTGGGCACTCGAAAATCTGAAGCATGCTTGGGTTCACAAAAAGACTGGAAATGGTTCTTTGGTTTGGTGTCTCTCCTTTCTTCTTATCCTTGTCCCCCACCAGGTACCAGTCCATTCTGTCCCCAAAGAGCTGAACACCTTTAAAGGGCATGCTAGCCACCTTTGCCTGAGCAGAGGGATCCACTTCCCAGTTGCAAAGCCACTTATTTCTCTTTGTGGTGACACTCACTGCCATGGCCCTGGCAGATAGCTGGATGGCGTCTAAAGAGGCATCTGCCCAAAAGGCTGCTGCTAGGGCAATCTTATTTAGGTCATCCTTTAGTCCTTTAGGGATGTCGCTATCAGCAGCTGAAAGGTCTGAAGCCTGTAAGTAAATAGCCCTGGCAAAAAGAGAGCATGAGGTGGTTGAGGAGCCCTCCAAGTCCTTCTGCGGGGACTGCTCACTTCTCCTGTCACAGGAGTCCCTGGGTTGTCCATCTGCATCTGCTGGCAGGACTGAACTAGAACACAGGCTAGCCACAGGGTCATCAACCAATGAAAGCTTAAAGCACTCAGTTTTCGACATGTAACTGATCTTTGTTCGTAAAAAACTTGGAGTTAACAACCCTATAGGGAGGAGCTTCTCCCAGAGGTTCAGACTGCCCCACCCAGGACCACTGAAGAAAATACCTTTGCACCTGAAGAGCTTCAGTGAGACTATATGAGCAGGGTTAGATTCCATATTTTATATGTGGGATTTATATAAAGATTTTGTTAAATGTGCATTACTGCTGAACTTGAAAACCAATTTATAGGGGAAAGTTTAAAATACTACATTGCCATGACTCTTAGATATAGAGAAAATAAATCTAAGCTAAATTATTCTAAACCATTCAGTGAAATAATTGAGGATTGTGTCCTGATCCAACTAGGCTTATATACACACAGAAAAAGGCTTTGCCTGTGTGTATCTCTAGCTGAATGAGGAACCGCGTATGCAAACGAATCCTGGACACACAGGTCTCCTTCTCCAGTTCAGCAGCTTGGGCTGCAGATGTGGGCCCCTTTTAAAAAAAATAAAACAACAGCCAAATTCCTACTGATTTCTTATTTAGGAATGCATGTGAATGTATGTGTGCATATGCAAATTCAGTATCATCCTGCACCCCTTCACTGTCAAGTGCCTGATCAGCAGTATTTTATATATTTAGCTGGCATTCATTTCTGTATGAAACAGGCAAGTTCTACAGTAATGAGCATGATTTTGAAATGGTGGCAAAATGTCCCTCCCTACACCACTCCTGACACTAGACAGCCAGACCTCTTGAGAGCCTAATATGTCATTGTGCACAGACATATATGGTATCTTGGTGGGGTTTTTTTTTTGGGGGGGGGGGGGCTACCCATCCATCCTGTGCTAGTTTTTGTACAAGTCCTTTCTGGAGAATGATGACTGGGATACCTGTGTTTCCTTTAACTATTTCCTCACATTCAGAAATGAATGGCATAGAACACCACAAGCAGAGACTGGGTGGGTAGCCCAAGCTAAATGCAACAAAGAGTGTGTAAAATCTTGGTGTGTAAACCACAGTGCAGCATATTGAGATTTTTTCTGAGACTTTCTTCACACACAGCATCAGAATTCTAAACTGGAAGTACACAAAGTTCTTATGAGGTTGTGACCCTATAAATATGCATATTGTGGTCCTGGATAAGGGTAATAAAGGAGGCAGTTTATAATATAGTGATATATGCATAAAGACAAAAATTTGAGCTAACTGTATCCATTTGACTCTGCAACCAATCTTTATCCCTTCTGTCCTTCACATCTGTATCACCTCTTAGTTATGCTGAAATGCAAACAAGCAATATATATGATTGGAACTTAAGGGACAAGGGAAGTCTTATACTATTATCTATCCACTGTTACATTCAAAGGGTTATCTTTAATTACAACCATATGTGCCTGCATTAAAAAAAACTGGAATGCTTTCAAATGCTAATGTCAGCATAATACATTATGATTCAAAGTGGTTAAATCTGGATCTGCTTAGGAAAAAATGTTTCCCTTTGCCCCTTACTGGCAACATTTAGTCAGACTTAAATGATCCAATGAATGAAAACTAAAAACATTACATCTTTCATGTGGATACTGAGTTTTCTTTCCAGTACAAAAAAGTATAACACATATCATGAAATATTTCACAGAATACAAGATACAAATGGTTAAAACAAGAAATAGGGTAGCATATGTATGGAACCTCGTGTACAGCCAGCTGATTCTAAAACTCCCTAAAAATGTGTTTTGTGCAAAAATGCTCAAAATATGACACTTTGATATATAATCTAATACCTGCATGTGTAGGACAAAACTTAACCAAATAGAGTTAAGATGGAGTGATAGAATGAATGTATTGTTGGTGAAGACTGCAAATAAATTCTGTCCACAAGAAACTGTTAGGAAGATTGTCCACACTTCCAGTGCAATCCTATTCAGAGTTACTACAGTCTAAGCCCACTGAAATCACTCTGCATAGGATTTTACTGTAAAGGCACTATGATCAATACAATTACACGTGAACTGACACTATAACTCAGTGAATGGGACCCATATGAAACTTAGAAATTAGATGGTGTTTTTTTAAAAAAATCATAGCAGTGATGCAGAATATCTGCTTGTTTTACTGCATAGCTATATAGAAGGAAAATCTGGATGCCACAAGTAAAACAGCAAAAAAAATCCTGGAAAAGAATAAATTTAGGTGTATGAATATTGGGATGTTGGCACAATTTTTATATCCCTGATGTGTGACCTGTTTTAAGATTAATGGCCAACAGAGCTATACTTTCTACCTTATTTGCAGTATATTATAGGCTATGAGTTCCTAACATAATGGACATTGCCACGGCACAATAGTTCTCGTGCATGTTTTCTTAGTCAGTATTTTGTACTAAATATTATTCCAAATAGACAAGGTCTTGAATTACCATAGAATCATGGGTCTAAAAAGTCATCTATTTCCCATACTGAAGACACAAAAAGTTAAACATTCTGTACAAATGACATGTTCCTGATAAATGGATGTTCCTTACAGAAGTGACTCCATTAATACCTGGTTACATGCTGTAGAAACTTGTAACCTGTGTCCATTCTGAGCCCATGGTTATGAGACACGTGAACTTGAGGTATGCTCACACTTTGAGCTTGTGGAAGATGAAGGAAACATGCAATAACCATCTTCTAACAGAGACTGCCATCTTGCATTTCAGTGATTTCCTGATCAAACAAACCTTATACCCTGAAGGTTGTGCATTCATTCCCCATTTTGGCCACTGAATGATTACACAGACCAGTTCAGCTCAATTCTGACTTAGAAATGTCAGTGTTTGAGCTTAAGAATAGAAAACATAGGTGATTAACTACAGTGTCTGCAGTTTCAAATATCCATTTACAGTCTGTCTGCACCATCATTACCAGTCTGGGAGTAACATGAAGAAAAACTATGTACCTTAACTCTTGAGGCAGATCCAGGCACTCGAAGAATCCCTTCTGTTTCCAGACCAGTTTCCTCAAGCTTCAGCAACAGCTAAACCGCAACAATCAAAAGGATTTTTATGCCGTTTGTCAGCAAAAAGGAAACATAATGTAATTTGTTGAAAATCTGGTTGCTACACACTTACAGCAGCAGGTCTACCATCCAGCACAGAACTATTCTAAACCCTTTTGGCTAGACTGTGTCTCATGTTTTTATATCAGTAACTTACGTATATACCCTGACCTGGATAGCCTCATCAGATCTTGGAAGCTAAGCAGGGTCTTGGACTGGGAGACCACTAAGGAAGTCCACGGCTGCTACACAGAGCTAGGCAGTGGCAAACCACTTATGAATGTCTCTTGACTTGAAGACCCTACAGGGTCCTCATACGGAAAACAAACAAACTTTACATATTCCACTGTCACTGTATAGCTATTTACACAACAGGAGCCTAACTTGGAAGTAGCATCGTTCATCCCTTCTGACCCAGAGATTCTATAAAGCCCATCTGCCTGACCTAAGACAGGAGGGATACCTTGTGCCTGCAAAACCAGAATTTCCACTGAATTACACTGAAAAGCAACATTTCTAAGCAAGTCATTGGTTTGCTCATTTGCAGGTTACTGCTCAGTGAAGGATCGAAGAAATTCTGAGTGAGTTATGTGGACCTTGAAAGCAGAATTACCTTCCTGTACATGCATGTGACTTTAACTGAGCTTTCAGGTGGATTGCTGCAGTTTCACACCAATGAATTTCAGTTAGAACAATCCTTTTTGATACTATAATAAGGAAAATACACTATTTTATAATTTCAGACTAGTCAGCCAGTCAATTTTAATTTGTATAACAATGCATGTCTGCAGCTTCCTCCAATGTAGCACACCAAGAAGTAATTCATCTAATGAGACTTGGTTAAACTGTGACCCTGGTGAGACACAACTTACCCACGCCCTCAGCCGCTATATGTGCAGGGTTAACATGGCAGAGATCCATAGCCTAGGCAAGCAATCAATGGTATCCTAATGTTGCACACATTAATAGTAGCCCTATTTAAATAAGATGTTAAGCATCTGCAAAGTTCCATGAGAAAGTTCTTCTGCCTGATAACATCATGGTTATATCAGACCTGAATCATATGAGGAGCCTTCGTATGTTTCCAGCTATGAAATGCTGATAGAATTAAAATGACTGCATGCAATCTGCATTCAGACAAAAAGGTGCATGCATGGCTGTTCTTATATACTGTCTACTTGTGAGCCAGCACAGGCAGTGAGGAACTGAACTTTGATAACTCATATTGTTCTACTCACTTTCTGAAAGATGAGAGGAACTTTTATTCCAGGAATCTTTTTCTGATCACTTTCCAGCAGTATTGTTAGGGGAACTCCAAAAAGGCCATTTTCTTCAGAAAACAAAATGAAAGAGACTCTTGATGAGTAATGCCTCAGTGAATACCAAACACCATAGCATATCTATTGTGATACATAACCATCACTGGCATAAGCACTTACCACGTCCTTTAACTCTTTCTGTTCTGTTCCTCTTTAGCTCAATGCCTAAAGCATCGTAGAAGGCTGTTAACTCAATCAGAGACAAATAGCGAATTTTCTTCATGTCATCAAGAGACAAATCTCCAACTTCCGTCAGTCCAAATCGGCTTTTCCTAATCATAAAGTTCTACAATATATTTAAAATAATTACTTTTTTTGGGGAGGGGGCAAAATGTCTGTTGTGACATGCTTTGTATGAAAACAATGGAGTAAAAAAGGCAGCAAATCCCACCCATTATTATTTGTGTTGAAGTCCTATTGGGATTTACTTCTAAGTAAACATATGCAAGACTTGTCTGTACATCTCTTACATTAAATACATTAGCATGAAGCATAATATGAAAATGTTACACAGTCTTAAAATGGAGCTATGTAAACCTGTAATTAATCCCACATAACCCTCCCCAAAACAAGACCAGATAATGTTCCATTATATTGCCAAATGTTCAAGCAAGAAACTTTGTAGAAAGTTTCATGTAGCCTTTTTTTTTTTGATCCTACAATCATTGCATAATGTAAAGATCTGGAAGCTCGACATTATTAGAATCACACAGAAATAGACTATCCTGCTGAGGTCTAAAGATAATAGGCCTATATGAAAAGCAAATGCCCCACATATAACCTGCGTTACGACTTTCTAAATAACTCTGAATCAAGTAGATGATATGCACACCACTTGATGAATTCACAGAAAATCCTGGGGGACAGACAACCTAATGGCTTGTGTATAGCACTGAGATGCAAAGGGTGTTGAACAGATGCTATTTGACACAGTTCTTGCTTGCATTACTCAACTGCAATAAATTACCTCAATGTGAAAGGCCAAATAAAAACTCCAAAGAACTGAAGTCATGCATCATTTACACAAACAAGAAACTTTGTTTTGCGATTATTAAGGGAGAACAACTGGAATAAGACAATACAACATGACAGGGTGAAACATTCACACTTGTTTCAGTGTGAAAGAAGACCTGTTTACTCAAGCTTATACATTACTGTGGGATTTTCTCAAAATTCCACTATTTGATATCTAGTCATACATTCTAGAAACCATATCCACCCTTTGGGGATCTGTGAACCAATTAAAATCTTTGGTATGCACTTGGATTTTGATCCAAATCCTGATAATGCTTAAATGGACTCATAAACCATTCTTAGGGTTTACTAATAAAATTTGTTGGGACAATATGAAAATACTGAGTTGGATCCTAAACCTTATTCCACCCATGTAAGTGGCACTTCTGCCCACATGAGATTTCTGCCAATCCCCTTCTCTCACCGCAGACCTCCTATGCTGGACTCTACTGTGAAAGTCCACTGATACCCCAGGAGCAGCATCTTTGGTACCACAGAAGGCTACCATGATAATGGGAGGGTGGGAGAGTTTCATGAGCTCCTCTCTGCTCACAGTGCAGGATCTATCCCAGAGTGAGCTGTACAGTACAAGGCTGGGTTAGTATCTTACAAGGGATCTATAGTTAATTGTTTCAACCCTGCAATACTCAACTGAGCTGGACAGCATGTGCTGGAACAAATAACTATTGACCCCCGAGTGAGCAGCAAACTGTACCGCTTTTCTTGTGAAAAAGTTTTGCTCTATATTTTAGGATATTGTGCTAGGAAGCAAGACACTAATGGAAGGACTAAATAAATATGAAGAACTTCAACTCACCGGCAAAGCAGACTCCTCCTTTTTAAAACTCTGATTGCTGTGCCATTCTCTGTGCTTTGGAATCACTGTGATGGATTCTGAGAAAGAGACCTCAAAGGATAGTTCTTCAGTCACTGATCGGTTGTCCTTCTCGAATTCATATTCTAGACAGCTAGTAGCTGAAATCAAGGGAGATTACACATGGGCACTATATTCTCTGCAGATAAATAGACAGGGGTCCCTGCCCATCACTGAGAAATTGGCAGCAACTATTCCTCCCAGTCCACAGTTAAACCATCATTGCCTATACATTGTGGGCACTGTGGGATTCACGTGGGATTTATTCCATCTCAATTCTTCACTTAGCCATTAATGAACTGAGTGGCTTCCCTCTCCCTTTCCTTGAAATGCCTGGGGACCATAATTTATTGGACAATGCAGCTTTCACTATCACTGGAGTCAGATCCTGTAAAAGCCTAGACACCAACTGCCTGACAGTAAAGAACTGTTGGGACATTTGAATGTATGTGGAGTGAAGAGACCCACACTGTGCTCCCATGTGGCACTGCTCATGCTGGAACTCTCAGCACAGGACTGCAAGGGCAGACTGGATAGCGGATTTTTAAAAAAACAGATCTGGAGGAAAGCAATACAATTCTGTGTGCACCCCCCCCCCAAGCCAATGCCAGAGGCATTGCCTGGAAACACACCTCCTATTGCAATGTCTTTAGTGCCTCCTACTGTGATTCCTTTTGTATTGCCTAAAGACTAACTCTGAGCAAGTTCCAGCTTTTTGTGGGCCCTGGGCAACAAGGTATACCTGGGCCCCCTTGGTGCAGTACTTTTATGCTCTAGCCACACCCCTTCCATTCCCCCCCCCGCTTAACTTTTTTTCTTTAATAACCCCCTTTACCATTTCAGTTTACTTACTCTAATAAAGAGAAATCATACACAATTTTGCTTTCTTTTGCTTACCTTTTATTACTGTATATAAAACCAGAGAGAAGAAAATATGCCTTCCGCTATTTCATTTGAAGCACTATTCAATAAAATTGGCATCTGGCCTCTACTTGGCCACAACTGTCTGCAGCATGCACCAACACAAGTCTCCAGTTACGGGGAGAGCAAAATACAAAGCACACTGAGGTTTTATTGAAGCACAATGGCTTGCACTCTTTTGGCACCATTGTTTTGCCATGCAAGACATATTTTATAGGGAAATTCCAGGCAGAGGTAAAAACTGGGGCAGATTCTTTATCACATTATTATTTGTTTCTGTTCCTTCTCCTGAAATCAATAGAACTTAAAAGACTCAACTTTGAATGGATCATGCCCTTACTATTTTTCAAGTACTTTTGGAATTAATCGGAATCACCTATAAGTGCCTGGTAGTGGTAGACAAAACCAAGGAATACTGGCTATTTAACACACAATTATTTTTACTCATCTAGACCACATAAAAAAAATAAATAAAAGGCATTGTCAGCATGCCAAAGAGTTCATTCAACTTTGGTTCATAGTAGGGTTACCAAGTAAAAATATCCTACCGGCGGGGGAGCCTCACCGGGCTCCGGGAGCCGTCCCTTGATGCGCCGCCAGCACGTCACTGGAAGTGATGCACGACGTTGATCACGTTGAAGGCGTGGCCCTGATCGTCGGAGGGAAAACCATAGAGTTTTCCCTCCGACGATCGGGGCCATGCCCCCAACGTGATTGGCGTGATTGCATCACCTCTGGTGACGCAGCTATGCTGCGCTTCGGGGGGCAGAGTTCCCCCCGGGGCCTGATTTCGCAGCAGCGGGAATTGGGCCTCCGAAGCGGGGGTTTACCCACCCCCACTTGGCAGCCCTAGTTCATAGAATCAAGCTACATATTCGTATGTACTCACAGCTAACCAACCTGGTTTGTGCACAGGAAGCTGGATACCATTAGTCACTGGTGATACACGAATGGCCTCAAAAGTGGGCTGGAGAACAAGAAAGTCATCATCATCATTTATCTCTGATGCAGTGTTGCAATATTATGTTTCTATGGAGGCTTTTTGTTCCACTGATTTATTGCAATGTATTCTTATGTCGCTTTCTTTTTTCTTACTTTGGAACATGTTTGAGTTAGACAAAGACAGATTTAAAGCAAAAGGGTTGTGTGCTGAATCTATTCAGCTTTTTCACTCAGTCTCACCCAGTTCCCTTCTTTACTAAAGCCCCTATCCCTCATGACTTTTTTATATATTCCCATGTTCCCCAGCATATCCCTTCCTTCCTTTTTCACAAGGAGACTATTTGATTGAATCTAAGTCAACATGATGGGATTATAATGAAAAAAGTCCACACATATAAAAGCTTCTGTGGCATTTTCAGCAATAACTTTTAACTGCAATCAATGCACCTTCCACTGAATTTAACATTTTTAGGTATTACCAAAGTATTGTTCCTAGGCTCCTTAACAGCAGCCAGCTGCCTTTGGTAATTAAGAAACAACTTCAGCTGACCAGGAGTGAAATTTTATAAATAAAGTTAGTTCCTTTCATTTTTGGAGCTACAAATGACTAACACGCCTCTCCTGCTGGTCAGGAGACACTCCGGAGGGTGTTCTACGCAACACAAGGAGCTGTAATACTTATTACTAGGGGAGTTGCCAAGTTGGGAATAACCCCTTATGCTAACAAAGAAAAATTCTGCTTATACAGGGCCCTCTGAATCTAGCCCAATATAAAAATTAACTAAATATAAAGAATATAAATTATTCAAACTGTAAAATATTACAATTACAAAAGCTATTTAGATTCAGACAATTCGCTTAATCTAGGAAAGCTTGAACTTGTCCAACCAGCACCCATTCAATCACCTTGCACAAGAATGGAATATTTGAGACTGGTTATTTAAATCTCCTGTATCCAAGGTAAGCTCCTTTAGACATGGACAGAACACAGCATGTCCAAAACCTGGTGTGACCACTCCCTCTTTCACGGAGGCATTAACTACCCCTCAGATCCAGTCAGCCATGCACCCCAGCAAGATTTAACTAGCCAGGAAGGGCAAGAGTGGTACAACCAGGTGGTAGATCAAACTTCTAAGGATGCAGTCCACATCCTCCCACTGAATAAACTGAAAATAAACTAGAGAAGCTGGCACCCTGGCACCGTTGAACCCTGTCACCACTAATGTAGAGTCCAAGTCAGAATGGATGCAAGAGATTTTATCTATAAAATGCTGAACAAAATGGTTGCAGTTCTGCAAAGGATAGCCCCAGCTGAACTGTAGGGAAGAGTTCTCCCCATGGGCTGAGCTGCTTTGTGGGCTCTTTGGGGCAGTCCAGGTTAAAACAAACTGCCCAAGAGAGCCCCAGCTGAGCTGGTTGGGGTGAGTGGTCCCCCCCAAGCTCGGCTGTTTTGTGGGCTGTCTTCTGCAGTCCCTTTAAACATCCCCTGTTTAAAGGGACTGCAGAAGAAAGCCCAACAAACAGCTGAGAAGCTGGAGAACATTGCTTCTGCCTCTCAGCTGTTTTTCAGGGTTTGCCGGTAATTCCCAAATATATCCGAGATTTTTTCAGGAATTTTTTTCTGGTTCTCCTGAAAAATCCTGGATACATTTAGGATGCTGAAATATACCTGAAAAAATACCAATAAGGTGTTCCTTGGGTATATTTTATGATTGGGTAGATCCACCCCTAATCACAAAGACTTTGCAGTACACATTTTATCACACTGTCAGTAACTGCAACAGATGCTGAAAAAAATTCAGCAAGTTTGCAATCATCAAAAACTGTTAGTGTTCTACAACAGGGCATGAATGGTTAAGCTACTTAGCTATTTTGTCCATTGAGGGTGAATTTGCCAGATGCTGTCTCTCTAAATAGCCAACTCATTTCTACAGTGGTCAAAAGACAGACTTCAATGAGTTTGCATACTAGCTGCCTGGTGGATCACGATCACCCAAAGGCCATTTGAAAAAGAGCAGCCTTGCATGCCCTGTGGAACCTAAGAAGGTCCTGCAAGGCACGCACCTCTTTGTGCAGCTGGTTCCACAGGATGGGGGCCACTATTGAGAAGGCCCTCACTCCTGTTGACACAAGGCAGACAGTTCATGGACCAAGGACTTTCAATAAATGCCAAGATGAAGACTGGAGAAGACAGGGAAGATCATTCCAGGAGAGGCGGTCCTGAAGGTATGAGGGTCTGAGGCTGTTTAGGGCTTTAAAAGTAAGTACCAACACTTTGAGTTGGCACCAGAAAGTAATTGGGAGGCAGTGCAGCTGCAGTAGGATAGGGTTTATATGTACCGACCAGGACACTCCTGGCAGCAATTCGGCAGCTGTGTTCTGGGCCACTTGCAGTTTCCAAAGAGTCTTCAAAGGTAACCCTGCTCAGAGTGCTTTACAGCAGTCCAGTCTCAAGGTGACTGTTGCATAAACTACTGTGGCAAGGTCCTCCCAAGGCAGATAGGGAGCCAGTTTGTGGGCCCTGCATCGACAGTAAAATGCAGTCTTTGTCACTGATGACACATGTTTGTCCACGGAGATCGAAGAATCAAGCCATACCCCCAAACTCCTGAGAGTTGACTGTAGAAAGTCAGACCTCATCAAGGATTGGTAGAAGTGGCCACCCCAGTGGACTGGGCTTCCCCAGCCACATAATCTCACTCCTAGATGGATTAAGCTTCAACCAGTTCTCACCTAGCTATTCTGCCACTGCATCCAGAATTCCAGCTACTGGTCGCTCCTTAAATAAGAGGTAGAGCTGGGTGTCATCTTCCTATTGATGGCGCCATCCTCCAAACCTCCTGACAATCTCCCCCAGAGAGCACAAAATTCTTCTCTTTTTCAGAAATAACCCTCACAGATTTCTGTTTTGGAACCCAGCAGAATACCAATATGTCACTTCAACTGAAATGCTTGTATATCAGTTTGGTAGCTAACTATAACAATAACCCTGCAAATCTCCAAAGCACTGAACATTCTACTTACAGAATTGTCACTGACCCCAAAGATGTCTCGTACATCTCTAACTTGGTGTTTATTCTTCTTTCTCATAGTTTGAGTGTAGGTGTTGTATCGTTTTTGTACTGCAGCTGCTTGTGTTCGGGTCAGAGTAGAAAGCAATGCTTCTCCATCCTCCTCTTCAGACCCTGATATTAGCGTAGACAGGCCTACATCATGCAGCCATTCAGCTTCCAGTTCCCCTTCTGTGGGAGGGGAAGAGTGTATTCATAATCGATCAGCTCATTAATGGAGAGAAAGAGAGAGGAGGGCACTGAACAGTAGGAAAGCACACTTTTAGACATCAAACAAATCAAACCTGAAAACAGAATATCTCATTCATTATAGGGTATAAAGCAAAAGGAAAACTCACTGAAAGTGCTTATGGGGTTTTTCTCTCTCCCAACATTCTCTATGGATCCCTAAAAATTGGTGCTGGGGCTTGTGGGCAAAAATCTACAGGGCATGCCTGGGTGGCAGCTGGGAGCATCAAATCCCCCCCCCACCCAGTGTTCCCTCTAAGCTGAGTTAGTGTGAGCTAGCTCACAGGTTTTTAGCCTCTGGCTCACACCTTTTTGTCTTGGCTCAGGCAGGATGGCTCCAGAGCCAACTAATGTATGCAGCAGCCAAATCACTCGCTCACAACTTTAATGCCAGGAGCTCACAAAGTAGAATTTTTGCTCACAAGACTCCACAGCTTAGAGGGATCACTGCCCCCACCCTTCTTATGTCAGCAGAGCTTCATCTTGTGCAAAAGGTTCTGCTGGCAGAAGAGAGATTTAGGGATGCTTTCACATGATTCCAATTCCTCACATTCCCAGATTAGAAACTGATCCCCCTTAATGAGCCATGGGCGCCTTGTGGGAGTAGGAAAGCTGCAGGTGTCAGGGATGATGCAGAATTCCAGAGAGAACAACCTGGCAATGGTGGTGGTGGGGGACGATGACAGAGGGTTGGGCTGTAGAGCTGAAGTGTCTAATTCCATGATATACTACATATCTGGGTCAAGATGGGCAGCCATGTTAGTCTGTCTGTAGCAGTAGAGAAGAGCAAGAGTCCAGTAGCACCTTAAAGACTAACAAAAAATGTGGCAGGGTATGAGCTTTTGTGAGTAACTGCTCACTTCTTCAGATACAGTTAGAATGGGAGTCCATCTGTCCTGTTTATTTAGTTTTCCCATTCTAGCTGTATCTGAAGAAGTGACCAGTGACTCATGAAAGCTCGTACCCT